TTTTTCCTAATGCTTTTCTGTTTTTTTTCCTGCATGCTTGAGTGAGTCTGCTCTTCTATTGCTCATCCTCTATTAAAATACATCTCAGTCAGCAGGATGTGGGGCCAGTTTTTTCTTTTCTTTTCTTCTATGTCCAGCCTACATATATGATGTGGTTGGACCCATGACTGGAGGGCTGGAAGCTGGGTCTGCTGACGTTATATATCATCAGGGGCCCACAGTTCACCCTTAAACCTGTGGTCTATAATGAGGCGGAGAAGAGAAAATAAACCTCATGGCAGGCCAGATCCAGTTGGACTATACCCTAATGCAGTTGGTACAGTATCGTAAGACAATATAGGCTTAGCAATATAGGGTTAGCAATCACCATCTAACTCTTACTAACCTTCTCACTAACTTTTACTTAACTCTTACCCCCGTCTTTTCAAACACCATCTATCGTCTGTATCGCTGACTCCCTCGAGGCACACAGCAGTGATTTAGGGCATGATTCCTAACCTTTTCTTCTTCTTCTTGTGACCCATTAAATCAAAGCAGTGCATACTCATGATGACCACTTGTCACATGGAAGCGATGTTTGAAATAGCTTTTAGAGGGCTAGAGATGTATAAACAGGCAGTTTTTTCCTACAAATGAAAGGAGGCTTGAAAATAAACCTGATACACAGAGATTATACTTAAAACATTGCACTTGCACATTAGGCTATCAAAGTGTGGACTTCTTTATTATCAAGTGGCTCACAGGGCAAAAACAATTTCCTTGTTTAGACATGTTTCAGTTTATAACAGCTTCGGTGATGTTATATGGAATCCATATTAACTTTCCTGTAATGACGCTAAACATTTAATATTCAACATTACCAAGTCTTTTTATACTGAGCATGTCTCTGTTATCACTTTATGACTCTGACTCTTCAGTTTGTAATCAGTACATGCAGTATTTAGTGTCTCTGGAGTGATAAACCATTTATGAGTAAAAACAGATGGAAGTCAGGATTTAAGTTTCTCTTTTATTTTTTTTTGCATGTTCTTCTTTATTCACCCTCAACCTATGTTTCTTCTTTTCTCTATGAAACCACCAAGCATGCACACACACACACACACACACACACACACACACACACACACACACACAGCAGATAATCAAATCAGCAGATAATTCAATTATAAAACCCTTTTAAGGAGAACTGTGATGTCCTGATAACAAGGTGTTTAAGGCTAGAACATATATGAGGGTGATTTGAGCTGTGTCACAGTTTCACTTATTGAATCAATGACATATTGTTACCCGTGGTGTACTTCTGCAGTTGCCAGGAGGTATGTGAAAAGCTCAGCTACTTAGCTAACTAGTAAACTAACAATAGCCAGGAATCTGCATCAGCTAGAGTTGGTGCTTGAAAAGTATTTATTGAGTAAGCAGAGAAGTTAAGATTAACTGGCTAAAAACCATGAATAATGTTCAGTGGCCTATTGGGTAAGTGGATCACATTAAATAACAATAATTAAAAGTTAAGGATAAGCAAATGAAATACTGTAGTTAGCTTAAAGTAATGAATAATGTTAAACAGGTGAAACAGCTCAAAAGTAAATAGTGAAAGAACAGCTGAAGTGGATAGCTAAAAGTAAAGGGTTAAACGTTATTAAAAGTAATGTAAAAACAGCTGATTCTTTCCAAGGTTGTTTTGGTACATGAACATGCGGCCATTGGCATCATCTCACAGGATTTACAGGCTCATCTACTGCCAGAACTTCCAGCTGTTATGGGCAGTCATTTAGTGTGTTGTCCACAGTAATAAAGTGCACGCTCCTTCCTTCAATCACTCAAAATCTGTTGGTGGAAACAGTCTTTGTGTGCTTGTCCAGTCTTTGAAGGTTTCAATTAGTGTGTCCCTGCCTTTAGAAAAGGTGTTGGGCCACCAGAACAGCTTCAGCGCTTCTTGGCATTGATTCAACAAGTCTTCGAACTCTACTGGAGGGATGAACACCATTTTACCAAAAGATATTGGTTGGTCCAAAATTTCCCAGAGGTGTTCAACTGGGTTGAGATCTCGTGACTTCACAGGCCATAGTATATGATTCACATTCAGTGACCTCTCGTGTCCGGCAGATGGGGGCACAGTCATCCTGTTATCCTTAAGAGCAGTAATGAATAAATGGTTAAAATGTGTGACACTCCATATAGTACAAATTCAAACTTGACCACAGCAATCTAAACTGCCTAAACACTTGTTTAAACTATTGTATTAAAACAGTACCCACTGTCACTGATAGAGCTTAATAACATTTAGTTTATAATCTATTCAAACGAACACTTCTGGAACTTCACACGTAGTGCAGACGAAGGGGTACTTGAGTTCATTTGGCAGGGCAGTTGGACTATGTTTAACAAAATGTTTGAGTGGAACAATTTTCACAGCGTAAGCTTGATTAGTACCACTGTGTTTCACGTGTTTCTTTGCTTTCATCTGTCTAGCCACTGCTCTGGAGTGCACACCAGGACTTGGCCTGGGTCCAGATTTAGATCCCTCTGCTCAGCCTGAGTCCATCCTGTGAAAAGAGAGCCCAAGAGTGAGTGGTAACACAGAGGTGCTACGGTTGGAGGCATAGCCAGACCATCCAATGGGATCAGGGAAGCTGGCTCAGATGTTGCTGGGATGGGTGGTTGTGTGCCTCATGGCGGTCCATGTGGCGTTTGGTGAAACTGCAAATGGACCGTACCAAGCCAGCCGCTTCACCGGCACTACAGACCAAAGAGAGGCGCAGCGGGTTCGACGTCGTGGCCAGGAGACTCTGAGAGGGTAGGGATGAGAGTCTCTGTGTGTGTCCCTTGTCTTTGGCCAAATCCTAATGAACAGCAATTCTTAATGCAGTTTGTTATTTATTGTATTAATGAGATACTGCAGAAGCATTCAGTGAAGAGTGCTGAAATGAAGAAAAGTGCATTAAGTTTGATTTTGCATATATGACTCAGACATTTGTAGCTGAATCTGGACAAGTTTAAAATATAAATTATTTTCTTTATTCTGCTGTCCTAGAAGCTCTTTTTTTAACTGCTGTGCTTTCTGGATTAAGGCCAAGCTCACATACCAAATAATGCTGATGAATACTACCACATTGTTTTCCTCAATAACAGCACATGTTCAATCTTAAGAGGCAGCTCGGCATACTGAAATCTCCCAGTAGTTACTGCACATTGTCAGTTTCATGAGAAAGCAGCTTTCTGTACATCACATGATGGGATGAGGAGTGAAAAGCATGACCCAGAGCTAGTTAAAGCTGGAGAAGGTAGCTCAGGACTGCTGTGAGGAAACTGCTGGCCCTAGTGGCAAAAATGGTGTTTTAGGTACATATGAAAATCCATTTATGCATGTGTATGTTTTTAAAGGTGTTTGTTTGAATGTCTGAATGTGGGGAGCAGCCGGAGAAATTACACCAATTACAACCCCCTCCTTCTCCCTCTGTCCCTTCTCTCTCCTGCAGCCCAGATAATTCATATCATTAGCTGAGCACTATGAATCTGTATAGGATGCATGTCACTGTGGCAACAAGTTTTTACACATTTCAAAAACAATGGATGGTTTGTTTTGGGGCCTGTTTTCAGTGTCTGCATCAATTGTTCCAATCAGACCCTCCCATCTGTCCCAGCTTATGGTTCCCCCAGTGCCAAGCCACAGGAAATGAGGTATTCAAATCACCCGAGGGCGCTATGAAAAGAGGCGTTTGTTTCACTGCTGTAGGTGACAAAGCTGCAGAGGGAAGAAAAAGTATGAAAAAATGAGAGCATATAAGGAAATGAGAGATGAAAGGAAGAAGAAATTGGGAGTGATAGTGAGAAAGTTAGAGAAAAATAACTAGTGCATTAACATTTCTACTCCACTGGCCATTGTACTTGTCCTATCTGACCTGTCCTGTCTCCAGTCTCCCATTGTTCAATGGACTATGAGGCGATTGGCATTGAACTCAAGATATGATCTGACTGAGCACTAATTCTGTCTAACAGACAGCAAGAGAGTCAAGAAACCAGGAGGCCTTGCACAATAGCAAATTATTCCCACCACATAGTGTGTGGTTTCATGAGAGCAAGTGACAGCAGCCTACAGACCTTTTCCAATACATTGTTAAGTTCTGGAAACACTGCTGTGTTAGGAATGAAATACTCATGCATTGATAGTTTTCTGTACCAAAGTAAACAGGTGATGAGATTACATAGCATCGTTGAAACCCAAGATGCCCTGTTTGTATGTGGGCTGTAGACCAGTACAAGGCCCCCAGACTGAAGGTATTTGACAGAATGTTTGATGTAGTTTTGGTTATTTTTATTGGATTTCTAAGTGTCGACTGGTAACTGTCATTTCAATAGTTTTAAAACTTTAAATCATCTCCCATGTGGTGTGTGAGTTGCCCAAAGCAAACAGGAATAATGTGGTCAATTTATTTTCAGATCCGGTTTGAGTGTTGTTGGATGAAAACAACCACAATTTGTCTGAAATCGGGTAAAATTAGTCATCTACATGTGAGAATGTTTCATCAAACCACAACTGGATGAAAGCCTCAAGAGTAAAGAAATCACACACATGTGATGAGTAAGAAGGTATTTTGGCTGCTGATAAGGATTTGTGTAGTGTAAGCCAAAGGTTTCTTACTCAAGAGTTGCTTAATTTTTCCACACTTAAAAAACTACAATACATGCAAACCTGCACTTGTGTCTACTGTAATGCTTTCATCTAGAAGTGTCACCAATCACAGTGGACTGTCAGTAACTCAGTCTGGGTTTCACCGATTCTGTGTGTGGGAGATAATGATGGTCATTACGCTGGCCTTGGGCTGGGGCGCTGTGTTTATTTGCTGGCTAGAGCTCTTCATATTCCCTGGTCTGTGTCTGGTAGCACTGACACTGATTGGCTCCCGCAGCACATGGCAGCCTGTCATCCATCCACTTAAGGGCGACATCTGATCAGACCTTAGGCTTGCTGGCTGGCTGCCTGGTCTTCTTTATTCAATGACTGTTTAGTTGGTAGGACAAGAAAAGGAAAGTGTGAGGCAGAGACAGGGAGTTTTTGCTTTTGATTTCTTTCTCTTTGTTCTAATATAGTATCTAAGCACTGAATGCTTATAGTATAGTATGCACAGCCTCTGGTACTGTATATAACAGTTAAAGAATCCAGCAAAGTTATTTTTTTGTAGCCAGAAACCTAATTAACTTAGCCTAGCTTGGCCCAGTAAGCTCTGCTGAGGAGAGACGCTTGGCTGCTTGGTTAGCTTGGCATACAGTCAGCCCCAAAGCTTAGAATTTAATTCAGTCACTCAAGTCCCTTCCAAGATTAATGTCAGTACCACCCTGATGGCCTGGACGAGGTCCTCTATTTATAGTCTGCCTTGGCATGTTCTGAAAAGAAATAGAAGAATTTCCCAGGTTTGGATGTTTCAGAGCAAACATCTTAACTCAGAATTATTTGATTGTTTTGAGGATAGGGGAAAGAAAAAAGACAGTAAAGATCAAGAAGAATTTTTATTTGAGATGAGTGGAAAATTGCCAGTTTCCCCTTTGTGTTTCATGTGCATTTGATTCCATTTTAGGTTTTCACATGTCTGCATTTTATGCTTATTGTATGTGCAGCCTAAGACTTAGCTATAAAACAGGATCATCTGAGACAGGTGATTTTCACATGGTCTATGAATCAAGAAGTTTCAACTTAATGTCAGAGTGTATGAAGAGATTTAGCTCAGTTTAATTCGCACGCACATGGACACAAACACACAAGCCGCACACATGGATTTAAACACAATAAAACTAATCTAGACATAAACAAACATAAAGGCATCACGTGAGTTTATGTATGAGCAGAGCTGTATTTGATTTATGTTATTACTATATTAATATAGAAGATTAGCATTCGAGCACTTTGCTTGTTTTGTCTGAACAAAACCCAAAGATATTCAATTGACAGTGATGGATAATATAGAAAAACTGAACATTCTCACATTTGAAAAGCTGAAACCAAAGAACGTATGGCATATTTCCTAAAAACATTTTAGGCTCTAAAATGAATGTTAATTAACTTGAAATTACAAGATAACTAGGTTGTGTACATAAAAATGAGCTTTTCTAAATGTTTATTTCTATGTGTATTATTATCCTTTTTGTCTTTGAGCTCTGAAAAAACAGATATGACAGTGTCTTCATATTTACCTTTGGATGTGGCAGCAGCTGTCTTCCTTTTATTTCAATTAATGGCAGTTAATTCATTATTTATGGGCTGGTAGACAACTTCAGTGAATGCAACTTGGCCAAATAAGAGTTAATCTCCTTTAGATTGAGCCCTGCGAGCAGTAGGACATTTAAATATTAAGAAAAACTCCAGGGGCTTAAGGTCAATTTTTATGGCTGTCTTTCAAGTCTGTTTTACTTCAGTTCACCCTTTAAAGCCTCCTCTCTGTGATAGGAGACCAGGAATTGACCTGGAGGAAAAAGTGAGAAAGGAAGAATAACAAACCAAAGCCCCCTCAGGGTCATACCTCTAAATCCTTGATATATAGACATCCCCCACATTTGTAACAGCGGAACTTTTTTAATGCTTTGTGGAGAAATAGATCAGGGACGAAGCTGGGTTCACAGCTCACTAAGTGTTGGGTTGTTGATGTCTAGCTCTGTGCATTTCTGAAGTTTTTCTTAAGCCCTGTTTGGTTTGTGTGTCTGCTCCAGAACTGCAGCCCCCCCACCACGGGTCTGGAATCTTCATGCTTATGCTGCTCTCTCCTTTAGTTCCATATCTCTGTTTTCCGCTCCCGCTTCCTCCTCTCCTCAGCATAAGCTTGTTTTGCTTTCCCTCCCACTGATCTCCTGTTCCTTTCCCAACATTCTGTGTTTCCTCTTCCTAACCGCCGTCCCTCTCACTCACTTCACACTTTCTCTCTTTTCAGTTTCTGGAAATGTTCCAAAGAATCCACTGTCTTTCCTCCCTCTACTTGTTTTTCCTCTTTGTGTGACCACCAACTCTCTACCTACATAAATATGTCTCTAGCCCACCTGCTTGTCAGTTCTTCTGTCCCACCATGCCATCTGGTAATGTGGTTGGAGGTGTGCTCTGCTCTCCATCCATCAGCAATTCAAACCCCAGCTGTCATTTCCCTTGTGACCATCTGGGGTTACTATGGATACGTCTGGTGAAGAGGAGAGGAAGGTCATCTGTTTTATGCAGGAGGAAAGTTAATCAGAGCTAACATTCACTTTAATTATGTGCAAATATATATGGATAATTTTAAGTTAAGCTTGAGACATATTGACATATTGAAACGTTTGGCAGGAAACTTGAGTTATAAATTGAGAAGATTGAATTTGAAACAGACAAATTAACTCACAACTCTATGGAAGTGCCATACTAAATCCCTGAAGTGCCCCTTTTAGACCTTGACCTGCTGTTATCTAGTTTTATTAATCCTCAGTCAGCATCAGAAAACACCAGGTAATCCATCAGAAATTGTCCAGATTCAAAAGATGTGATCCCTGTGGTAAATGACTTTACCATGAGCATCTGGATCAGGCTTTGTCTCAGTTTACCAAGCTGTGGTCCCTCAGTTCTTAGTCATGCTATCAGCAAATGCAAACAACTAACCACCACCACCACCACAGATAACCACAGATGTACCCATCATTATTCAAGCTGAAAAGTCACTAAGGATATCATTAGCACAACCACAGAGTTGGAATCCATCCAGTCAATGTATTCGACAGCTTCATGCAGCGTCTTGGGGTTTTTCACTTGAGTGTACACTGACTCATACACACGTTCATTTTGGTACATGGATTTTGGTTTTGGGATTGATGCATATTGAGATTTTTATTCTGTTTCTCAATAAAGTGAATTACAAAATAAGTAGTTGTGTAATACTTAATGGGTGATTAAACTTGAAGTGTCCTTCACATTATCTTGTAAGGCAGCTGCAGACTTTAGTCCTACTGCACGTTTATGTGCGGGTTTGTCCGCGTGTCATCTCTAAATCTAGTTTAGCTGTTCCCTCAAAAGAAAACTTGGTGGCTAACCTGTCAGGACAATTAAGCTCTCTATAAGCGATGAGTCTTACATACTGCATGTCAAACTGGATCAAAGTTCACTGCAGTCTGTCCAGAATCAGAGCTCACTGAGAGGGGGACAGCTATGGGGAGTTACACTGGATATTTGCCAGGACAGCCATGAATGAAGAAAAGAAGACTTTATACATTTCGTCCTTCCATGTTTAACTTTAGCCTTGAATGAAAACAAAATGACACTCCTCATCATGCAGGCTTGTAGCTGTCCTTCCCCTCCTCTCCTCTCTGAAAATACCTCCATAAATGTCTCCAGGAGGCTTTGTGTAAAAGTTTGTTTATTTGGAAAGCAGAGGCCATGCAGGTCTTGAACAGTTCAGAAAATAACTCCAACTGTGTGTGTATTTCACTAAAATATGTTTAAGAGGTAAGGGTAAGCAGTGAGTTTGTTGGTTTTTTCTTTTGGTCTCAGGCCTAATGTGTGTGGCTCTCGCTACCATTCATACTGCTGTCCAGGCTGGAAGACTCTGCCAGGAGGGAACCAGTGTATCGTTCGTAAGTTGTTCCATCCTTGAACCCTTTTTAAGTCCAGTGTACAAGATAACAGATAGGCCACAATTCTGCTTATGTTGTTTTTGTCGGTTGACAACAGAGCATTTACAGTATGTACCAGTCAAAGTCACTCTCTTCTCTTTCTCCTCTTCTTCTCCCACTGTTCAGCTATTTGCAGGAATTCATGTGGTGATGGCTTCTGTTCCAGACCCAACATGTGTACCTGCTCCAATGGCCAGCTCTCTCCCAACTGTGGAGCAGCAACAGGAGGTCAGTAACGGTACCACTTCTCTCACACACACATAAAATAACTTTATCTTCATGTAGAATAAATTCTTATCATAAGGTGGTAACTGGCAAATAGATTTAAAGTAAGTAAGAATTTTGCTGCTTTTTTATCAATCACATTACATTCATCTGACAATTTTTTCCAACATGACAAACATAACAAAGTCTGCCTATTAGCAGCTCTAAATGGCTGGCAACTACCCTAACCAAAATATAGTGTGACACACAAATGCTGCACAAAGTATAGTTTTTACACTTGTACAGGTTAAACAAACAAAATGTAATGTGTCAGTTACTGAACTTTAGATGTGCTGGTAGTCAGAATTTGATTATTTTGAACACAGCCAGACTGTTTCCCTTTTTCCAGTCTTTGTGCTAAGCTAAGTTAACCAGGTACTGGTGTCACATATATTTAACTGACTGATATTAACAAGCAGTAGTGTGGTATCATCTAACTGCTCATCGGTCATCAAAAAACCCAGACTGATAATATAAAATTCCCACACAAGATGTTCCTTTTTCCTTCACTTAACCTTGTATACAACTGAAACAGCAGGATTACATAGTGGTTAGAGTTGCTTTCAGCCAGGTTTCCAGATAAAGAACATTTGGCCTGTTGATTACGTTTTTTTGATTAGTGTAAATGAGAAATGGCAAAGTAGCGAATTGTTGTAAACTAGTGACCAAATGATGTTGCCTGTTATACTGAGCAGTTTCAGCTTCTTCTCAATCAGTTGCTCTGCTATTTTCCGAAAGTTCCAGCCTTCCCTCATGGGAGCCAGATTAGTACTGTAGCCAGTGTGATAGTAGTGTAAAAAGTAGCAGGCCTGCACAACAGCCTGCAGGTCACAGGGATTGTCCGGATTAAAGCCCCGGTCCCGTCTTCTGGGCTTAGTTACAAACCACTCAGGGTCAATATGTTTTCAGATGTTTATTGCACATGCAGGGTGTGTGAAATCATATTTGTCTTAGTGAGATTAGCACAGGATTTACATGAGAAGTTAATATGTGCAGGACATACCGAGAACCTTGTCATTAAGCACCACTTTGTCAAAATGTGTGTCACTGTGTGTGTTAAGTAGCATGCAATGTGGTCAGCTTCACTGCTTTAATAGGCCAAAGTCAGCTCGTCAGTCATGCCTGGTCCCTGTGAGACCCTGTATACATGCTCACATTCCAGTAAGCCCACTCGCTAACACACATTTTCACTCACGCAACTGTACGCACGGACATTTGCACATAGACGGTCTTATTTAAACAGACAGAAAAAGTACATGTACACATACTGTACATGGACACAGTAAGCATCAGTTGGTTGTGAACAAGAGTTTTAAAACAGGATTTGTTCCAGTCATAACTAAAGATAACTCTCAGAGGAACAGTGGGTGGGGTGGAGAAAGCCTCTGACCTGTATGGCAAGCTACATGCAGATCTCCTGCAGATTCAGTACTTTGGCAAAAGCTATGAAGTCATGTTCCTTAGGGGCAGGAGTGGCGCATGAAAGTGAGGTGATAAATTAAAGCGAGAGCTTAGCAGACCTCGACCAAATTTAAGTGATTCTCAGCTGGGATTTGTAGTGGATTTTCTTCAGCTTTACAGGCAGAGTGAAGGCAGGAAAGGAAGCTACTGAGATACCGAATGATCAGTTTAATCATACAGCACTTCATTAGTTGAGGGGAAAATGTTTTATCGATCTGTTATAGTGGTGTGTGTCACGGAAAAGACCTTCCTCTGGCCTCTCTGGTGGCTTTAGTGAATGTCAGACCCAGAAGTTTCCTGAGCTCTGCTGAATGACCCTGCTAACCATGGAACCATGGGGGACAACATATTTGGAAATCCTTTGCCATCTCTGGTCTCAAAGATGAAGTTATAATTCTAACCAATTAAAAGTATCTGTTGATTTGCTCAGCGTGTTATGTTTAATTACTTCTGAACTACTCCAGTCCAGTTATGTTTGTAATTGTCTTGGCTCTGTTCTATATTTGGTTATAAAGCTTTGAGCTGATTTGAAGCCCCAGAGTGACACTTATTGTTTTAAGTGTGTTTAACACATTACTAAGTTGGAAACTGTTTGCAAAACATCATAAGTCTCTGAGGCTTTAAGCCACGTTAGGAAAAGACAAACACTCCTCATTGTAGATCTTGTCTTCCCCAATCTGCTAACTCCAAGATTTAGCTTTTAAAGAGAGAGAGAGATAGAGAGCGACCACTTTTTAACAGAATAATTTAATGCAGCTGGAAGTAAACTGCACCTCTATGGAGATTCAACTGGAAACGTCAGTTTCCTTTGCTTTAATTATACAGCCAGATTCTGGCACCCTGCTTGACTGTGTTCTAGATAGCAACTGTATGTCTCATGCTTGTCTGTGGAATGCAGAGGTTTAAATAAATCAGTAACACATTTGTGACTTTCTACATGTAAGCCACATGTCTATCATTATTTCTTGGTCTACACAAATGGTCATCGATTTTTTTTATGACTCTTCCTGGAATCTTTGCCGTTTGCCAATAAACAATATAAGCATGTGTTTCTGTGGATAGCCTGGCAGACATTTAGACATTTACACATTTCCAGAAATAGAAATGTGAAATCTTTGCAAAACCAAGGTGCAATGAGTTATTTAAGGGTAAGCCTTAAGCCCCTTTCAGACATGCACTGGAATCCTGAAATTATCTAGACATTACCCAGGGGGGCTGTATGTGAGAACACAAATGTCCAAGTCAGTTGACGTGGACCTTAAATGAATTTTACTCTGCCAGCTCCCTAGTACAAAGTCTGCATAAGGTCAGACTGAGCTGGAGTGAGCCGAGAATGCAGCAGCATATAGTCTGGATTATTTGCCGGAAGAATACAAACATCCAGCAGTAAAGAAAAATTGTCATTAACAATGAAGACATCAACGAAAATATCTAACTGGAGACATGACAAGATTTGGAATCATTTGTCGTTTAGAGCCGGTACCAGAATCGTCAGGCAGGGCAAGAGACTCAGTTGTTCATGACCAAATTGTAAACTGGCTGCTTGACCGTGTCATGTCCCACCTCCTGTGCGCTCTACCCAGGTGCACCCTCTGCGTATAAACCAAATGGAGTATTTCCAGTAGGTGAGAACACATCTGACATGAGCTCCCTCCTGCTGTGTGCTACATGTGTGAAAAGGCATCTCTGCACAAAGTCTGTGTCTGATTCCACCGACAGAGTCCAGAGTTCATGTGTGAAAATGGCTTTTGTCACCCTTCTACTAAACTCACTGACAGTTTAGAGCAGAGCGGCAGTGTTGATCATCATATAAGGTCATTTTTATAACCTTGTCTTCCCATAAACGTAATTATTTAGTTATTACCCTGAGACGCAGCTCTTGGTAGACTGACAGGCTTCTATTTGTAAGTGACATGGAGAACTGGTGAGTCTTGGGAAAACAATGAAGTAATGCTCTGTCCTTTCAGATATGAGGAATGTAGACAGATAAACTAGTGTGTGAGGAACAAAGTTAATGCCACTGAAATCACGGTGCAGGACTCTGACTTTCCTAGAATGGAAACCATCTTGGCTTTGGGACCTTTGACAAAATCTCAAGCAGTTTTCTGTGTCACTACATCGCCCATTCATTTTGAAACTGCAGCTGACTTGTCACCGGAACCTGGGGGGGTGCGTAAATCAGGACAAAACAAAGCTCCTCAGTTATCCATCAGATACATACGTACACCCCTCCACACACACACACACACACACACACACACACACACACACACATTCTTTCACTCACACACTGAATACACAGGCCTGGACTTCACCCAGATGTGTACAGCTCATCGACGACACTACCAGAATACAGAGGTGCACTGTGGTGCTGCAGAGCTACATTGAACTCCTTTCACTCAATGTCTGGAGGGCTCACACATATACAGTACACATGCACATACAAATCCACCCCCTGCCCTGTTGATCTGCATGTGCAGTAGACATGGGTCACTGGGTCAAACCACCTCACTCCACATGCAGGGGATGCAGTGCCATGAGGAGGGGGAGTGAGGGGCGAAGTTAGCCAGTGAGATCATCTCCTTTTCCCTCCAAATGTGCATGTTTGCACCCATCTCCTCCGCCTCCGTCTCCCATCTAGTTCCTGTTATAGAGAAAACACATGAAACGAACTGAGTCTCTGTCACTTTTATACCTCCGATCTTTCTCTATCTTTCCAGCACCTGTCCCCCATCATGCTTTTTTCCTGTGGGCAGAGGCTGTACAATATGTGGACAAAGAGTCTCTTATTACTGTAGTGTCTATGTGACCTTCGCCAAAATCTTTCTCCATCCTTTCTTGACCTATTTAGAAATATATTTGAGGGGAGAGGGATTTGAAAAACTGATGACCCAAGATGCCCTCAGCTTTGGGGGAGTCTGGGTTGCAGCATGTTGGAACAGTTTCCTTCATGGTTTGCTCCACAGCGGGGAAAACTCACTCACTGCAATCATTATTTACGTTTCACATCAATCCAAATGTTGGCATGAGTAGAAAAAGAGAGTCCATCATGTGCACAGCATTGACCTCATGTCTTGAACGGATCTGAAGTTGAAACCTGAGAGGAATACCTCACCCATCTCCTGTGAGAGCAAATGAGAAGAACGGAGATAAAGGGAGAGACACAACACTAGTAAACTAACCCACTGTAAAACCCAGCCTGCCCCACTGTCCCAAACTATTCACTCTAAGTTGTCACCACATGCTGCCATGAGACACAATCCAGACAAAAAGTAGTTTCTGCCAAATCTGTACGTGGTCTGCCAGAAGTCTGCACATGAGCAAATTAACTTGCACTCCTTCTAGACTTTTGATACATTAAATATATGGAGTGAAGGGCAGCTTTATTCACAGTGAATAACTGCTCTGCTTTGCATTTACTGAAACTACACAGGATTCACATCCAAGATTCGTGCTGTTGTGCTTTGACTCATGTGCAAGCTGACTCACTTTGTAAGCTGCTAGTAAGGCAGGTGTGGCTGACACACAGTAAAAGCTACCTTATAGCGTATTCACTCATGACTCACACAAGTCATATTTAGTGTGTTTGCGTAGAGTCAGAATGAGGGGGTGGATTACAGTGGCTGAAATGCCTCCTGTTGGCAAGTGTGCATATGAGGAAGCACAGTCATTTCCCCTTTGCTGCACATCTCTGCCTGCTGGAAATGCTAATGAGAGAAAGACAAACAGATGGATGGAGAGAGGTAGATAGAGATGTAGAGGGGATGCTGCTGCCCCACAGCAGGGAAGGAGTATGGAAAAATGGAAGAAGGGATGAAAATAAAAGCACTGGGAAACTAAAGGACAGTAAAATATTCACTGGAGCTTGGATGAAAGAAAAAAAAGAGGATGCGGGGAAACATTCAGTAAATACAAACTGCTGCCATCCAGAGGTGTAGATGACTTCTCTTCTCTTGTGTACAGTCAAAGGCTGGCTCAGCAGAAAGCTGCCTGCTAACCAGGAAGGTCATTCACTTTCTTGTATGGAACCTGTAGCCACATGTTGGAGACTGTCAGACTGGCCACCTTACACTCGGATTGACCGGTCACAGATGCAGGGTCTTGCTTCATAACATAAGAGCTAATACCACTGCAGCACTTATGGTCTGTTTCAACATCACACCCTTCCTCTCTCCTCAGTGCATCCTGCCGCCCCCCAGTTTCCATCTCCTCTCAGGAAATTCCTGATTCACTGACTGACTGTAGCGTACAGATGGCTTGACTTGTTGCCTGCTTCTAGTTTGCTCGATTAGCTTGGTGGCCTGTGACCTTTGAGCCGTGTCCGTTGATATAAAGCTGCCAAAGAAACACCAGCATCGCACAAACCCAACTGAAGTGGAAAGAGCCTCTTAATGTGTTAAAGTGACAGTTTTTGTAATGCTCAGATGTGTGGAAACAACAATTGTGATTTTTGATTGGGTAAAAATGTATTAAAGAAACCAACTGAGATGAATTAATCAAGTCATTCATTTCTAAAAATTTGAGGTTTATTTAATAAAAACAGGTTGTAAATAAGACAACATTAATGATATTTGACTGTTTGGATGTTGAACTTTCTCTTTAACTTTTGTGAAGGCCTGATTCTAATTTTTAAAATGCCTCTACTCTCACTTGTCTTTCTTTCTCTTTTGTGCCTTCTCCACTGTACAACCCACCCCATCATCCTCATTTCTCCCCTCCTGTCTTCCCTCGCCCCTACAGTTCAGTCCTGCAACGTCCGGTGTATGAACGGAGGCACCTGCGCAGAGGACATGTGCTCCTGCCCGAAGGGCTACACGGGCAACCACTGTGGACAGCGTGAGTGAACACTGCTGCAGAGTCAGCACACTTGGCGTTGCTTGTACTGTGCACACGTGTCATCTGCTACACTATATAGTTTGAAAAACCAAATGTCTTCAGAGAGACAGAAGGGTGATGGAAGTCCTGCATCTTGTCCTCACTTTGACTTGCTTTCTTCTTCTGTCTTTATATTTGAATCCCATAATCATGTTGAACCAATACAAAGTCTTTTTTAAGAGTTTAGCAATATTTTGGGGGTTAAAAGAAAGTTTAAATTGAGACATGGAGTGAAGAGAGATGATGTTATTGTCTAAAAGATTGATGTCATCCATGAAAATCCTCACATATGTTTGTAATACAAATACTATATACAGTACAGCATGTGTTTACCGTATGTGTCATGCAAGTAGTTTTAAAGTGAAGTCATCAGAAGCTTAATGAAAGATCTGTGAGAGAAGAGAGAGAAAAGAGAGGCAGTGTGCTAAGTTCTCTGCCATTCACTCTCTCTTCCTCTCTCTCCTGTAGCTGTGTGTGAGAATGGCTGCCAGAACGGTGGGCGCTGCATTGGACCCAGCAGATGTGCCTGTGTCTATGGTTTCACTGGCCCGCAGTGCGAGAGAGGTGAGAGCTCATTCTTCTTTCTGTGTCGATACAGTATGTTATGTTTCTCCCCTGTCTCCCTTGCAGCTCAGTTTGCATAGATATGACAAAGACCTGCTCATGCTAATCCCTGCTTGTATTTTAGTGGGAAAAATGGTGTGCTGCAACAATCTACTTTAAAGAGAAACAGCATTTTTTGTTATAATTTGGGCCTTTTCAAAATGTAATGAGGATTTTTAAAGGCAGCATTCAACTGAGTTGTGAGTTTTTGTGAAAACTGGTTGCATAAAAGAGTTTTAGTCAATGCATTTATAGCTGATATGTGAGGAAGCATTGATATGTTTAATGGTAGTGTGGCATAAGGTGATCGGTCAATTTATAAACAAACCAAATTTATACGACACCTTTCTGGGACAAAACTAAGGCAAATATTATAGGTGTTACCCAAGCTGTTCCATTAAATTTCCAGTTTTATACTCCAACTTTCTGGTTCAACTTTGGCCTGTCATACTTACTATAGTTGAGCACACACAGTTTTTATGCAATGAGGTATTATAATGGACATTTTAGGACTGCTTACTTCTGGTTTCACTTTCAGTATGTGGTTTAGATTATAAGGGTATGGAAGGGATTTGTTTATAGCCCATGTAACCGTTTGACCACCTTTGCGCTTTGCCCACTTTGATTCTCAGCAATGACTTTAACACGGTAAGTTATAATGAACAAAAACTCTGTTATAAGAAACTTCCTGTAAGTTAATCTGCACTGTGAGTACTGCAACTAAAATATCCTTTATCTAGCCATGAAGTCAACCAACTCAAGATCTGCTTGCCCAAGAGATGGATGGCAAGCAGAAAGATTAAAGGGGTGGTGCCTTTTATTAAAACACTTTCTAATCATACAAGTGTAATGGAAAAGTCGTACCAGGAAAGCTTTGATGTGGCCATGCAGTCATGATTGTTGCTGTTATCAGTCCTCATGTATTTTGTTAATTCATTACTTCAGCATGTGGTGAGCCTCAGCGGGCAGGCTCTTCATATGTGGATGACTTCATATAGTTTCCTCAGACAGACAGTGGGTGTTCTTCTCCTGAGCTTTGAACACAAGCCTGCAGTATGTATGTGGTGGGGTGCTAGATGAGATAGCGATGGCTGTGCTTCTGCTCACCTCATTTCACCTTTTTAGACATGCAGTAGAACCTTTACGTCCTCAGATTCTCACCTTCATCTCCTCAACCCTCCCTTACTTCTTCCTCCCCTCCTACTTCTTCTTCCCTGCTGTTACGTACACTGAGGTAGAGGGATGTTGGCCTGTAATTTTCAGCCACCTTGTTCTACTCTTCCACATTCCTTTTTCCTGCATATTTTAGTAGCTGCAAACTCTCACTCTTTGTTTTATTCAAGTACTGTCCTCCCATGCTGCCCTAATCTTCTTGTCTCCTGTTTTAATCTGACATGTTCACTTATTTTCTTCTCCATTCATGTAACTTTAATTATTTAATGAAATTCTGTAGCATTTCTAGCCTTAATCTCACTCTCCATTCCTCAGTGTTTTTCTCCAAGAAACTCCACAGTTTTGTTTTCTTGGAAAATACATTTGAGGGGTTTAGTTTGTCAGAGGGAGCTTTAAAGACATCTGGCAATAAATACCCACCCTCACCCCCTGCCACCCCCACAGGACTGACAACATAGACGTCTTTTGTGAAGTGTTCATGGATATTTCCTGATGAAGAGTGGAGCAAGGTAGAGAGGCAGACAGAGAGAGAATGAGAGAGTGAGATAGACTAGAGGAGGGAGGAAGAAGGGTGGGACAGGGTGAAAATGAAAATGGACTCCCCAGCTGTGCACACAAAGCCTGGTGGAGGGGAGAACTCCATGTTGGATGAGTGGTTAGAGTGCTGAACCTGCTGGCAGTCACAGGAAAAACACTTAAAAATCTGTCTTTGTGTGTGTATTCCTGGAGCCAAATAACCTTCGGTGAGAGGGGGGTGACTAAATTTGTCAAACAACATATTAGTGGCAAAAAACTATTCTAGCTAATGTGCATTTGATATAAAAAGTTACAGTTTGAACTCTATATTTTATATTTTAATCAGCAACAGTATATTCATTTTCATTTCATTTGTTACTGCATCTTCAGAAAATGGTCCATTTATGAAATTTAATCACTTGACCTTCAATTAGCTGGAAGACAACTTAACAGAACTGTTAGCACTCCTTCCCCCATACCAAAGAATCCTCACAATTTAGAGACAGCATCCTCTAGTGAAATGACTAGTACATTTCTTTAAGATTGGTTTTGGCCCTGAAAAGGCCATTGAATCCCTAGTATAATGTTTGGCTGTCATATAAATAAGTAAATTGTGGTTTGAGAGTTTGTGGGACTGAAGCCATGAGTCAGTAGATTTATGGCATGATTCAGTGAGAAAACTGCGGCTGAACCGTGACTATAATGGCAGTGAAAGTCAGCCAGTATAAGGAAACTGGGTGTGAGGGATGGAGTCATGGGAAACACCTGCGTGTTTGTGTGTCTGGGGTGTTTGTACACATGCAGCTGTGTATGAAAAGCATTTACGTGCGTGTGCCTGAGGCTTGCTGACTTTAGCAAGCATTAGCATGAGACAGAGTTAAATTCTGTGATGCCTCCTTAAATCAAACTATTTCCCACCATGTCTGCCATGAGCACCCTGTTATTATGCAGCAGCTGTTTTGTTTCTGTACATGTGTGCATGTAATCAATCTAGTGGCATCATCAGCTCAAACTTTAATACAGTATGTGTAATACTTTTGCTTAAAACCAAATACTTGGAAAATAAATGACATTACCAGCAGCCTCAGCTGTACTTTGTGTTTAGTGATAATTAGCAAATGTTAGCATGCTAACACACTAAACTAAAATGATGACCAGGCAAACTTCTCATGCAAACATTGTTATTATCATTTAGCTTGAAGCCCCACTGCTTCCTGCGTCTTGTTATACTATCAGTGTCCACACCTTTCCATGTGCATGTGCCGTAACGAGGAGTAGTGCCAAAGTATGTGTGCAGAGCTCTGGACTATTAAGCCAGCTCTGCTCCAGTACTGCTCCCTCCGGTTTGTCTCAGTGGACCTCCACAGCCTCTGTGGTCAGCGGCAGTTCCAGTGTGTGGCCCAGTCCAAGCCAAATAAACCCATAATCCCAGAGGAGCAGTTGTGCCCCTCGGCAGAGGGTATCGTTAAAGGTATTCTGAGGTGCTGGAAGTGTAGGAACTTGTGCTATTTCTGCTGTATGGACTTTGGATAAGTCTGGACAGAATAAGCCTGGAAAGGAAGCCTGCACTGGTAAATGGACTCCCTGACAGACACGGGTCACTCTGTGGAAAATACACCCAATGACAAGTTAGTTTGAGCTGGCCAGTTTGGCTAATTTTGATCTACAGCAAGTCTGTAAAACATATACTGGCGCATCATGACGTTGCCTTATGGCTGAGACCTCATATGTGTATTTTCCAAATCCAGCAATTTATGCTGCAAGATATACAATATAATGAACCCTGTTAAGCCATAAAGGAGCAACTGAGTCATGGCTGAATGTTTTTAAATCCAACAATACTGGAAATGTGTTACACTGCTTTCTTCAAATATAATGATCTTTATCCAGATACTATGTATGATATATGTTCTGTACTGAATTATCATGTTATGCTTTAACTGTGATTAGGAATGTCACAGTTCACAAGTTGTTTTTAGTGTCTGCTTTTCATGGGCACACAAAATTTTCTTGATCTATCTCCTAAACAAAAAGTTGAGAAATGATTCACCAGTGCACAGGCCAAATTTAGAGTCATTGGCTTGTCCAAATCAATATTGGAGAAGCCTTAAGGGATGGCGATGAAGGCTGTCTCTGTTCGGGCTTGATGTAAAAAGTTCAGTTTTACCCTCGCTGTAGTTACAAAAACACTACAAAGACTTTCCTTTCACTGAAAAAGGAACATGTCCCATGAGTGGTCGTTGTTGATGGAGCCTGGAGCCCATTGGCCCGACTGAAGTTTTTGCCTGGTGGTTGTCTGCATTCAATAGGGTCTGCATTATTGTTTTGCTTTTTAACATTATTGTGTCGGCAAGTTTCCCAAGACAGACGAAAATAGCTGTAGTAGTCAAGACAGATTTCACAGTACAATAGGTGAGATTTAGAAACAATCAGAGAGGAATTGCAGCATTAACAACGTGATGCCAGAAGATACTTTCACCAAAGATAGATTTTCAAAATGATTCCCTTAAAATGCCTGAAAATTAATGAAGCTATACTATGCACTTCTGTCTGTGTAGTCCTGTGTATTATCCTCACACACAGCAGTTGCCTGGCAGTTTCAGGCTTTCAGATCTGGGAAGACTGTGGAGGCCTTATCTCTCCCATTGCCATTCTCCCACAGTTGTTGGCCCTTGTATGTATATGTGTGTATGATGTATCATGTTTGACCCCTTTTTACATGGAAGAAATGAAAGATGCAGCCCCTTTGAGGAATGATTTGGACTAAAGCAAAAGAGATTTCAAGCCTGTTGATAATGGTGATGATAGGACCAGCACAGACTGCTATAGCTGGCCAGGATAGAGATAAACCTCCCAAACAGATGAAGACACAAGCACACAAGCACACACAAAGCAATCCACACATTTGAATCATTTATTTATATCCACGTAAGCAGAAGTACACAAGGACACAAACAATGCAATGCAAACACACATTTCACAAGACCCACCAGACATGTGCCTAGTCTACACACACCAAGCAGACATCAACATGCACATGTAAACACACACAGATGCACACACACATACATAGAAACTAACTAGAAAATACTCTGTTTCACAGCAGTAAAAGCACGACATTTACTGTAGTAAACCTCCCCGCTGTATAAAGTCTAGAAAGAACATTGAGTTTGAAAACATGTGCTTACTTACATATGTGCACACACACACACACATTTCTTCTCTTTATTAATTTGACCTATTGACCTCCTGTCATAGGAAGGTATGTATAAATGATAATGACTTAATTTCTGTCAAATCAACTCATATTTCAGGTTTCTTATCTTGCCAGACTTCTCCTCCTGGGACTTTTTGATATGCGTCAGGAATAATTAATTTGTCTGAAATGGGATTTGTCCTCTTCTGTCATGCTATGTCTCTTTCCTTTCAAGTGCTCAGGTCAGTGCCCTGGCACCACAGCTGATCCCACAGCTGGACAGGACTGATGGTTAAATGTTTTCCTAGAATGCTCTGTGTTCCAGATAGGATTAAAAAATTCTCTCACTTTAGCCTTTACAGTATTACATCGTCCTGTAATCCAGCTTCCATAACAGTAATAGGCTTTTATGAGGGATCACGTTTTTCTATGATATCAGATTGTTGTGTGCTTGGCTTCACTCCAAAAACCTCATCATATGTGAAGCATCAGTTCATTTGTTAACAATGGCTGGCTAATCCGCTTGGACTGATCTTGGTCAAAGGTTACAAGTGCATCAACAGCTTTGAGCAAACGTTGGGTTGTGTTGCAACAGCCAGCGATTCCTGGGAAGTTGTATTAGAAGTGCTGATGATTATAAAATCAAACCATTTGTAAGAACGAGAAGACTCCATTAAGTTTAACACAAAGTGGGCAAGTTCTCTTATTATCAGAAGGAAAGGACTTTGAGGTTATGGGTGAAATGAGATATGTCTGGCTGACAGGCTGAGGTTGCTAACAGTGGATTGATGAAGTAAGAAGTGGAGAGGGGATAAAAGAGATCCGGTAAATGTTCTGGATCTATTGAGCAATCTGAACACTAATTAGACACAGTTGCTTCTGAAAGTTGTGTCAGGACATTGGATTGTATCTTGTCCTAACCTGCCTGTGTCTGTGATTGTACATGTCCAGTGACTTTACATCCATAACATACAGATGTGCATACTGTCATGCTCTTACAGAGGTGTTGACCTTTGGACTAAAACCTACAGTACATGCATCAAATGTTTTTTGTTTTTAAACTGTTGTTCACACATATATTAGGACATAACAAGAGAGGCAGCTTTTCTTCATTACTTTTAAAAAAAGCTGGCCCAGTCTGTTGTTTGGCTTGATGCTCAGACAGATGTTGCAGTGTGTATGTACACAGATAAGTATGTGCATTCTTTTGGGCAAATGTGTGTAAGAGATGGACAGAGCGAGGAGGTGTTTGTGAACGAGGAGGTGTTTGTGTGCATGTATATTTAATTAAGCACACATGCATGCACTGCTGAATTTGGCTGCTGTGTGTGGCTATTTGATGCTGATGGATGATCAGAGTGTCTGAGAGTCCAATGTCTTGAATGAAGCCTAAAAGCACCGTCAATTTTTTGTTTTTTTTATTTCTTCTCATTTTTGTTTTTATTAATTTTATTCGGTTTAATGTGTTGAGTGCCAACACTAATTGATGATGGTTTGACTGTAAATGTGTAATAAATAGTATTAGCAGCTGCTGTCGGTGCACCCTATTTAAGAGCTTTGGTTAAGGATAAAACTAGTAATATTTTATGTTTAATGTCAACAAATCCCACAAAAGATTAAAACTACCAATGCACTGACAGTGTTACCTGTATGGCTTGATGTGCAGTATCTTATTTCTCTATGTCATTAATGTCCAAAAACTATTAAAAACACATCAGTGAGCTGCATTGTTGCAGTGGATGACATGTTCCTTCATTGCCACGAACATGGGTCCTTTAGTTTATTCATTGTCAACTGCATGTACACCATCCTACTGCAGTAATACCAAAGGTGTATTAATCCATGTCTAAAATTTGTTACAAATCCAGTATTTACTTCTGTTGGAGTAAACTTTGCCAAAACCTGTCGTACCTTCCTGTTTTATATTTATGTTTATATTTTCGATGGGACGAAACGGGTCTGAGGCCGCAACCAAGGTAGTGAAGTAGGAAATATTAAGAGACTGACTTCAGTGTTGTCGATTTTGGTCTTTTGTTAGGATTTGCTGGCAAAAAGAAAAGTATAAAATAATGACAGCACTGTTGTTCTGGCTTAGTGTAGTATTAAGTGTAACATTTTTAGCAGAATAAGTGGGGAGTATGATGTTTCTTTGTGTGTTTCTGTACAGGTGTATCAGCAGATAATTTTTTGTGTTAGAGCTCAGAAACAAATTTAGTGTATTGGTCGCCAGTCCACTGTTGCAACATAGCCATGTGAATATCAAATAGTGGCTGATATGCAGGCAAGAAGAGAGTTTATGAAAGACTGACAGAAAGACCTAAAGTGGGCAAAGCAAAATAAAGACAGATGGATGAGAGCAAGAACTGGCCTAACCCCTACCCACATTCTGTATGCTCAGTTTGACCTAGTTTAATTTTCCCGGTTTTTCTAGTTTACTGTCTGTCTTCCTTTCCTACCCTTTGTCCCTTTCATATAGCACAAGGAACCACTAAGGACACAGTCCAGAAAGGGACTCCCACCACCACTGATGCCTATCTTTCCATCTCATTCTGTCCTTCCAAGCTGAACAGGCTACTTTCTTTCTTCTCCACATCTCACTGTCACAGCCTTGGCTAGCCAACCATGCGCTAGGTCTTTCATTTCCACTGTGACACTACTTTTTAATGATGCCTATATTAAGTTTGGAGCCAGAAAACTTGAAAAGGGTTTCTCTCCCAAGGGAAGCCATCATCAGGCTGCACTGTATCGCTGAAATGGTTTCAGAATGAAGTCACTGTGTCTGATTTGTGAAGTGTATTTTGACATGATTATGGCAGGGGCAAGGAGAAACCAGGGACAGTGTGTTCTCATAATTTGTTTGCATGCACCATCTGTTTATATTAGTGTGAGTATGTACATGGCTCTATCTTCTCTGTTGTTACCACCCTTTTCCCAAAGCTAGAACAAGTAACTGTAGCACATCTGCATCACCTCTGCAAAATATTTTTTACTTTTCATCACAAGCTTATTGATGACCAGGCTGTCATTAGCTGCTTAATACTCTCATATCAGTGGAAACAGAAAGCACCACAGTTCAGCCCACCACCAACTGCTCTTCATTAAAGTACTGGTGTGTGCTTCAGTATGTCTGTCCAGTCCAATGTTGCTGCTGAGAGACAGAGTGTGGATGTGTTTTGCAGTTTAATCTGAGTAGGTTTGAATAATGTCTGAAATCATGTGGCTGACTTGATTCATTACGCTGCTACCAACTTTCATATTGTTCTTCTTAAGTCCTGGTAAAACCTGCTACTTGTAAATGTTCTTCTTTCAAAGTCACTTGTTGATCCAAAAACAATTAAACTGTGAGGATGTGTTTAACACTCCAGTGAGTTATGTCTTTAAAATCATTCTTTAATGGGATTCCAGATTTTCCCCTACATCCATTCCTCCATTTGTTGTTTGACTGAAATTAACAAGGGAAGGGAGAAAAGATCATTCAGTCAAATAGTTATTACAGGAAATGTGAGTTCTCTGTAGAAAAAGAAACTCCATATCTGATGTTAATCAGGTTTTATTTAGTGTTGCTATGTTCAAGGAATGAATCACTGTTTTGTCATTTAATCATTCAGATGCTAAATCAGTCACAAGCTAACAAATGATATGCATCTCTCTCCTACCACAGACTACAGGACTGGGCCATGTTTCACCCAGGTGAGCAACCAGATGTGTCAGGGTCAGCTCAGTGGAATTGTTTGCACCAAAACCCTCTGCTGCGCTACCATTGGCCGAGCGTGGGGCCACCCCTGTGAGCAGTGCCCTGCCCAGCCGCACCCCTGCAGACGAGGCTTCATCCCCAACATCCGCACCGGGGCCTGCCAAGGTCAGACTGAAGCTCGCTTGCTTGTGCACACACCTGGTGAAACATCTTTTTAACAGTGATGGAGGAGGATGCACATAATGACACACACACAGACACACACAGACACATATACACAGCTGAACACTATCACCACAGTAAACACTGTAACCATTACTTTATCCATCACCATCTCAGCTGCAATTCCTGCCCACAACATCCTTGAACTAGTGTTAACAACACTGCAGGTGTTTACATGTACACAGTAAGCCGGATACTAGCTTGTAGTTTCCTGCTAAGGTCTTATTCAGCAGATGCTGTGTACGTGCTTGTTTTTATCCCTATGTAGCCTACAAAATCTCTACAAGTAAACAAGTTTATGTGCTTTAAAGTATGAGTCAGTATAGCGATAAGTATCAGCATGTACTCTACTAGCTATCACTTTTTTTTTCTTCTCATAGGCAAAATGTGAGCTTTTACACACCTTAGCCAAACTAAAGTATGGTAGATACCAGTGGTGGAAGAAATACTCAGATAGTTTACTTAAGTAAAAGTAATAATACCACAAAAATACTCTGTTACAAGTAAAGGTCCTGCATTCAAATTGTTACATACATAAACGTACAGAAGTATTAGCATAAAATGTACTTAATAGTGAGTAAAAAGTACAATATTTTTCTGTAAGATGTAGTGAAGTATGAAAAAGCAGAAAATGAAAATACTTAAGTAAAGTACAGTGACCTCAAGACTGTGCTTAATAGAGTACTTGAGTAAATTACTTAGTTACTTTCCACCTCAGGTACATACATAGTACATAGTATTATACATAGAAGCTATAACAGAATATTAATGTACATGCAGAAGTAATGTTTTAAGACCTAGTGAAATTGAAAATTGAAAACCTTTTCTGTCTTACTAAAGGTGTTTAAAGTATCAGTGTTACCTACGTGGAGGCCATGTTCCTTGTTTAACGAGTACAACCAAATGCCTCCATCCGGTTCCTGTCATTTGGCCACGCCTAGCAGCACCCTGGGCACTCTGTGATGATCGATGTCTAGCTGAAGCCATCACAGACGGAGACTGTTTTTGTCTTAAGTATTTGTGTACTGATCTTCATAGCGCACGGCAACATGTAAGAAGTATCTGAGCTAAAAACAAATAACTCATGTATTTTTTTCTGGAAATTATGGCAAACTGGAGTGGTGCTTACATTTACATTAGAAAGTTACACATGCTGGGACTTATATCCATAATTGTTAGACTGTTCAATGTCCATTGCAAATTCACTGGTCACATATGCAAGGATGGGTGTGGCTGTGTCATTTTTATCTGCATCTCTGCCCAAATTTACAGTTTGTCCAGCATTTCAAACAATAAGAAGCTTTATTTTATTGTGACACATGCAACGAAATTTTGTTTGGAGTCTCGGGCCCCTGCACGCTTACGCGCCGCCATCATGGGCAACTTGGGGGGTTCAGTGTCTTGCCCAAGGACACTTCTACATGTGGACTGCAGGCACCGAGATTCGAACCTTCAACCCTCTGGTTGGGAGACGACTGCTTTACCCAGTGGTGACAGTGAATAAATGAATGAAGTTAACTAAGATGGCCGTTCAGTCTTTTTTACTGAACATGCAGAGAGATATTTGGCTCAGTTTTTATACAGGCATAAAGCTAGAGGTAGTCAAAACACAGTCACAACGCTATTTATTTTTGTCGGGCGCCACATTCATCTTTGTGTGTGTCTATTTGGTAGTTTTGTTGTACCAAACAAACTCACTTGTGACAGAATGGGTGGCTGGGCCAGTTGTGTTTATGTTAACTGCTCTGGGATACATATTTGGGGCCTGCATATTTGTACGTTCTGTTGAAAAAGTATGTAAGTTGAGTAACTGTAGGTGGACAGAATGTCAGAAACACATACCGTATAATGTTTCCAACATGGCTTTGAGTTTTATTTAACTTTTACAAATTCAGTTTAATCTTAACTTTTGCATGGGGAAACTTTTGAAAAATTCAGTTCATTCATAACAAGAAGAGGGTTAGGTGCAATAACCAAGGACCAACAATAAGTGATACACTATATATACGCCTGGCCAATACATATATGTGTTTAAACACATCAAAGCAATGTAACAGTTTTCCATGAGATGTAGCAATATCACAATCTACACAGCTATATGTAAAAGTACTTATACATTATTTATGAGTAATTCAAAAAAGTATTACATCTGGGATCAGTAACTGGTTTATATTTAGCCCCTCTCTTTTGGATGTGCCTGCCAAGCTGCTCATATGTTAGAAGTACACCACTGTGAGACAATCACTCATCCCTCTGTGACTCGCATACCTCCTCCTTTACGCTCTTCTTTACTGTCTGTCTGCGCTTCCTTCTCTCCCTGAATCTGTTTTTGTCCATTCTCTCTAACTCCTCTCTCTATCTTGCTCACATACACAAACACACGCACTGTGCTTTCATTGCTTTCATTAGTTTCCTTTAGACTTACCTAAACCTTAACCACAACCACTACTTGCTTAACCCTAACCCTTAACCTAATACTACACCTAACCTCACCCTAACCTTAAACCATGTTGCCACTCTAAAATTCAGTGAAATTTTGGGCCAACTCCCCACTGTGTGTGTGTGTTAGGTTTTTGGTATAATGCAAGTAATACAAAGGCACAGGCACACACACACACCAAAAACACCAGAGAGCCTAGAGCAGTGTCTTACTGGCAGCAGTACAAAGCACACCATGACCATGAATCCAAATGTGGGAATTGCACTCCAGGCTCCACATCAGGACATTGGCCGGTAGTTGTTTTCATTCTTGCTCTTCCAACCTTTGACACAGAGACTTCCACCAGACACTAGACAGAATTTTCAGCCTTAATTTAAAAGGAGGAGAGACTGAACGTATTCAGGTGATTAGAAACAGACTGTTTATATGTATTGTATTTATACATGGTTGTGCGTGCGCGAGCCTGAAGGTGTGTACATATGTTCAGGAAGTTGAGCTTTTCAGAGCACAGCTTGCACTTTCACAATGCCTGGATCCTGTTTTGTGACTGTAGCTAAGGGGAGAATAAACCACTGTCTGTATGTGTACATCATCACAAGTATCCACAGTTTTTACTGGAGCCTGCCTTCTGACATATTCCCCAATGCTGGTAAAAGTGACTCACTTTGAATGCTGGGAAAAACGTACATTTCAAAAGGTCATTTCCTGTTCAAACAAGAACTGAAGTGGGTCTTTCTGGAAGTGGTCTTATATATCATAGCCGGTGCCAAGTTACTACTTGTTTTCACCTCCTTCTCTGTGCAAAAAAGTTGAAAAGGAAAATGAAGAACTGTTTCAGCAACCGAATTTGTGCCAGAAAATGCTCTAAGACATGGTTTGAATCATAGTGAACTGATATAATATACAGCATACCTCATAACGTTTGTTATTAATCTGGATTATTCTTGTAGTTTTTGGTGTATCCTAAGACAGTGCTCTTCAGAAACCTCTATGTTTTGCTCTTAGCTAATTTTGCCTCTTCTTGCTCACAGTTCCTGTCTTTTCCTTCTTTCCTTTAGACGTGGATGAGTGTGAGGCAGTGCCAGGTCTGTGTTCTGGAGGTAACTGCATCAACACTGTGGGATCCTACGAATGTAAATGCCCCGCTGGCCACCGCCAGAGTGAAACCAGCCACAAATGTGAAGGTGAGTCTAATCTGATTAGGCCTCAGTGTTGACTTGTGGATGCAGACTGAGGAAATGCTCACGTAAGAAACAAATGGAAACCATCTCACAAATTCATGAATAGATCAGGGATACTAGCAGCCATTTTTTTATATTTTGCTTTAATTATCTTTATTGTGAAGTAAATATTGACAAGTGTATTATTAGGGTTGAGTTTCAAACCCAAAGTTCTTGTAAGAAAAAAGGGACTAGAGTACTGGAGTAAGTGAGGGGATCAAGTCTGAAGTACAAGCCTCCATTGTGATAAACATCTGCACCCTGATAAGGTGTCCTTTAGCAAGACACTGATTCCTGATGGCTCCGTGTTTGCTGATCTGTAACATGTCCCCTAGGCCATCCTGCAGTTTGTAAAGTCTAAAGGCTTCATCACATATAGTCACCAACCAGAAAACACCAGTGAAACCGTTCATACGATGCAAAGAAAAGCTATTTTTATTTTTAACCAAGACAAGAGATAATCACTAGAAGCTGATTTGAACAATGTTGAAAACTGACACAGCATCACAAAATCAAGTGCCAACTTTGCTTTAAAAGAAAATACTTTAATATGTTAACTTATTGCAAATTCAAATATTTGTGGAGTTTATGGTGAGACAGTCATATACCATGCACTTTATGATACCTGTGGGTTTGCTGGGATCAGTTGACATGTCACTAGAATCATTTAAACAGTGACAAGATGTTCAGAGTTAAAATAGTCTGGCACATATACATGGAAACACGCGCACACAGTAGAGTGGATTCACATTACAGTGTGTTCATTGGATGGAATTTAAATAATGCCCAGGCTAAACAGTCTGATAGTTAGCCAGGGAGGGGTTGTGTCTCTTGGACTGAAGCCAATGTGTTCCTAGTCCTCAGCGAGGATTACAGAAAGCTTTTTCAGCCACATGACATCCATTTAACTGAACAAGACCAAGGCTACACTAGCTATTGTAGTGTATCAGTGTATGAATTATTATCTAAATTCTCCTTTTATTATATTAATTTGTAGCATGGCTAAGAGCTGAACCAGGAGCAGGGAGAATACAGGAAGAGCTGGTTATGTTTGCTGGAAAATAATGTCTCTATTAATGAGAAGCAATTATTAAGACTGATTTATGTCTCAGTGAGTAAAGGAATGCAACAGGGAGACTGACTTCACTAATTTACCCAGTCACAGTTTCAGTTGTGGTATTGGGTGAATGCCAACGTGTTACACTTACAGTAAGGAGAGGATAGGCATTTCAAAGAAAAGAGAACACTGAAATTTAGGTGTGGATTTTGTAGACACACTTCAGCAGGCTCAGATGAGCTCAGGATTAGAAAACCTTGTACCCTTTCAACTGCTCACCAAATGCTTACTTTACTTTGCTTTGCTCTATTGAATATAACTGGCTGCTGAGGATTATATGGTGATTGACAAGACAGACAGAGAGAGAACATGAAAACAGATGGTTTGCAGGAACACTGATGTTTTCCTCAGCAAAGGCAAGCGTGGTCACAACAGGAATATTCATGATTAATCTCTCAGGTACTTTAATTGTTTAGTCTATAAAAATATGACAATGGCCATTTACACTTTCCCATATATCATTTTTTTTCTGAAAATGTGGCAACATTTCTGTTTTCCTGTTTCAAAAAGTAACATGGGAGGAAAGGAAACTGACAAATGCAAAACAATTTACATACTGCCAGATGAAGGCAATACTAGCTCTGTTTATGACTGAGACAATCCTGGATACATTTAGCAAAAACAGTCAGTATACGACTGTGTGCTACAATTTAATAGAGATGGGCAAACAAACCGGACACACATATGAAAAACCAACTACTTAGCAACCACCCTTAAAGTTTTTTCTCTTGAAAAGGTAGACCACGATGTTCAAAAACACCTACAGTATCTCACCTTTATGTGTCTTGTCCTAGTTTAGTTTTTGTCTTCATCTCCTTGTTTTGGTGCACCAAGCAGCACTGTGCTCAGTACTGCCCCCAGTGGTCACAGGCAGTATATAAAAGGCAGCATGTAACAGGACTGCTACTGACTGCTGCATCATCCTTTCTTTTGCAGTCCTACAAACAGTTCAGTCATTCAGTGCCAATGACAATTCATACATATGCTTAGGTCATGGCTGGCTACTTTTATATTAATACAGAAGGAAAACAGGAGCACTAAGTTAAAAGGAAAATCACACAAAATTCTGATTTACACCTATTATTTAGTAAAGCACATTTTTAAAAATCTTTTTCATTCATTTTTTAAATATTGTGATAACTATCGTATCATGGACTTTTTATCGTAACAATATCATACCGTGTGTTTTTGGTATCCTTGCGTCCCTACAAGTACAGGATTATCAAAATGACTAATTTTATCAGCATTAAATATGACAATACAGCTATTTATCTGAAACAGAAGTAAAAGCTCATTAAACCTTTCTAGGTCAAATGTTAAATCTTGCAATAATGAATGCACTTACGTAATACTACAATAATAAATGTAATATAGCTAGAACTGTCAAACATTTCCATTATTCAGCTCTTCAAAAATTATGTGCAACTTTAACTTTCTAATGAAAGCATTAAGGTTTGTTCAGTCAGAAAGTATGTTCATTATTTTTGTTCCCTAGAAACAGCTCTGGTGTTGATTTGTTGATTGCAGGAGTCATCATGTTATTGCCTGATCTGACCCATGCAGAGTGAGAACAGAAAGACAAAAGAACAGTTGTAAATGTGCATCTTAAGTCATGGAGCTGCAGGAAACTCATGTTTAGCGAAACAAACAATCAGCACAGGTCCTCTGGGCAAGGCTTTTATTGTAACGCCCTTCTAGATAATGCACAAACAACATTGCTGAGAGCTTTCACGGTGAAATAACTGAGCTTTTGGAGCTGTTAAGATGTCATGAGTGTCTGATCATTTTGAGCACAACAAGACGCTTCATTTTATGGCTGGCTTTTAGCTCTGATTTGTGCTTGACAGTCTCCCCCTCCTTCTTCTGCTTTTTGTGCTTCTCCTGCCATTTTCCTTCCTTAAGTGTAGTTCTTTGGCTCAAAACCAGCTGTTAGTGTTGAACAAAGAAACACTTAGAGCATCTGGGAGACTTTCTCATTACACACTCAGACTTGCCCATCAACCTAACAGTTGTGATTTTTTTCTGCACTCTGCACAAATGCACACACAGACAGTTTCACACATCAGAGTTTAGAGTAGATGAAAAGCTGTGAAGGGTTTTTCATATATTGATGAGTGTTATTGATATGTACATACACACACACACACACACACACACACACACATTGCATAGTTAATGGCTGTGTTACATCCCTTAACACACACACAGTGCTATGTCTGTGTGGAGTAATGTCTGGCATGCTGTTAGCACTACTGACATGAGGTTTATTTGGCTGGACTTTTACAGTCTCACCTAGGCTTTCTGCCACTGCTGTCAGACAGGAATCAGCAGAGGAAGAACGGCCTCTCAGCCTCGCACAGCAGGCGTTACTACACCCATCCACAGAGAAAGACACACATACTCTTATATGCTACTGACTTCTAGGAAAACATATGCACCCTTCACTTTTCCACACGTATGGCAACTAATAGACAACTGATGATCCCACATCCTCAAGCCAGTTATGTTTACAGAACATATCTTTTCATCTGCATTGAATTAGCTTCCGCCAGTGTTCTGTGAAACCAACAGTAGGCAATTTAAAAAAACAATTTAAGCAACATTTTATGCTCTTGATATGATGTTAGTCTTAACTGTGTTTTTATTAATCGATATATGTTAAATGGAATAAGATTTTGAATTCATTTTGTTATTTAGCTAATCTGTAAGGATGTAAAATGTTTTAGTTTTGGGTTGTGAAGGTACTATAGATTAGATAGGCTTTTTGACTTATGTACTGAATGAATGACTTTTAACTGGAATGCTTATGTTTGTTTTTGTAATTGTTTTAACTGGACCCCAGGAAGACGAACGTAGCGCCCTTAGTTGAAAGCTAAACCTGTAAAAATCAATAAACCACTAAACTTTTCTGATTAAACAGGTAGGGCACACGCACATTACCACATGCACTACTTCTGATATAATGCTGTGATTATGCTCCTCAGTGGTGTAGTTAATTATATATAAGTACTGTGCCACACCCCATAAAACCCACAAAACCTCTGGAACTTCACTTTGGGTTCCCCTGTCATGGAGCAATGAGGTCCCCTCATTACAACTTAATGCCGTCATAAAATGTACCACACCAAGGTGGGCCCTGCCAAACACTGTGCCCAGGTACTCTCAGACATTGCAGACATTTGTGAGTCAAATCATGGCGCGGCAGCTTATTACCTTAAAACTGAGCAGTCTGTTTCTTCTAGTATGGACGTTTCTTTCAAATTTGCAAACTAAAGCAATTGTAGATACAGTATTTACACTGATAATCAACCCAGATGCTGAGCAGTACCCACAGACTGTCGTTTTACCTCTAGAACTCCTTTTGACTGGAATAATATCCTGCACAGGTCTCATTCGGTAGACTTGAGATTGCTTTGTTCTCTCATCTTTAAACAATTTGTGTGTTTTCAATAGGGCCATCACTGATTATTTTCTGCTTATAGCCTTTTCTTTCCTATTCTTGTGTCACTTTATAAGGCTGGGTATCAAATATATAATGTTTAGTGGTGATACAGCCAGACTATTCAAACAGCAAAGTATCAACTTTGGTAAAATCCTGTGTACATCCAATTATGATTTAATCAATGAATAAGCAAAGATGCCAACAAATCTGACAAGGCATTAAGTCAGTTTCAGTACTCTCCGTCAATACAGATACATTGTGTTAAACAATATGAGATGAACCTCATACACAATAAAGAGTTCTAGCATCCGTTGTAGTACTGAGAATCTTTGATTGGTCACTGCTGCTGCTTTTCTTCATTCACTGTGATTTACAGTTTCACTGTTGGGTTCTTTTTGTCTTGTCTACCACTTTGGTAGACTGCAGAGCTAGTAGGTTGAGTGCAATAAACTTTCACTGTATCATTCATTCAAGAAATTCTTAAATTTAGTACTCGACACCTGTGACACATGATGCGATTTATAATATAACTGTGCGTGTTTCAGATATCGACGAATGCAGCAGCATTCCTGGTGTGTGTGATGGAGGAGATTGCACTAACACTGCTGGTAGCTATGTCTGCACCTGTCCACGAGGCTACATCTCTAGCACAGATGGCTCCAGATGTGTGGGTGAGTCTCACACACATACACACATATTTGCAACATTTATTTCTCTCATTTGTGTATTTCCTCACATTCTGTGCATAATTCACTGACATGTCCCATGAAACACTAGCAGATGTTAATATATTTCTGTATTTCTCACCTCTCCTGGCAGCCGCAGTGAAACACAGACAGGTGTTAATATGTTATTTGAAGATTCAACAGACAGCTCAGAGTCTTTTGTTTCAGCCTATAACCATCAGAGACCCAGCCCAATTTAACTCTCAAAAAAAGCTCCTCTATAGTAAAACCACTGGATTGCTTCACTTTTCTTCTCAGTGCCATCTTCCACTATAAACTCGATTCCCCTTATTTACAGTAAGCTATTGTATAGTTTTAATGCAACTTGTCCTCTATCATCTGTAGAAAATAATGATCTTCTCTGTTTTTGTTTTGGAAAAAGTGTGAGAGGAAATGGGTTGAGAATGCCAAAAAGTGTAACAGATTTGCATGTGCCCACACATGCACATATATAAACAAGGCGAAGGCTGATTTCAAAGGTGGATGGCTTAACTTCAAGGAAACAGGCATATGGCTATTGTTTAAAGTGAAAACAATATGGAAAGAAAAGAATTCCCACTAACCTCAACAGAATGGAACCAGTACAGTCAATAAGGGCAGTGGGCCCAGGTATGTCAGTGCATGAACATTAGGCTTCTGTGTGACTGAACATCTCATTTTAATAACACAACATTTAATATGCTGTTGCAAAAACCTTCTGTCTTCTGTGAGGCTTTCCTCAAGAAGTGGAACCTGGCTGCAGTGATTTGCTCTCATTTAGCCACAACTCATGGCCTGGTTGGCAGCTGGCAATCTGGTTCATCACAAAGCTGTTGGATGAGGTTAAGGACAGTGCTCTATCAAGTGATGTAACACCAAACTTGGAAAAACATTTCTTTATGAACCTAGCTTTGTGCCATGGGGGCATTGTCCTGTTAAAATGAGAAATGCCTTGAGCACACGTATATGTAAACAGGAGTGTTCCCATATTTTTGGCCATGTATTCTACATGTAGGCTCTGGACAAAGGAAAGAAAATGGCATGTACAGTATGTGCGTGTTGAAGAAAGTGAATTGCACACTGACACAGAGCTCCTCTCATTAAAACCCAAACATTTTCCATCTGTCTGTTTTTTTCTCTGCTGTCATCCCCCTTCTTCTTCTTTTCCCTGAAGTGATATGTCACTCTTTCTTTATATTTTTCACTTACTCACTCACTTACTCATTCCCTGAGTTACCAGCCCAGTGATTTACAGTAGAAAGTCTTTCTCTTTACTCTGGAACTGCCCATTTTCAACTCGGTATTGATCATTTCTCTGTCTCCTCTGGCTGTTGTTGTTTTATTTCTAACTCTTTATCTCTAAAAATGAAGCATTCTCGCACTCGCATCCTCCTTATCTATCTTATCATTTCCTCTTGGCCCTTTTTTTCTCCCAGCGTCTGACATCTGGATCCTGCACCTCACTTCCTTTAGC